CTTTTCTGCATTTGTATATATTTGCAGAAAATCACCTTCCGAACATAAAAACTGTGTTGAAGTTATATTTTGCAGCTAAATAATAGCTGGAGCATCCAGCCAATTCTGAAGCTGCTAGTGGTTTTATGATTCTAATTGTTTGAGTCTATAACCATTAGGCTCACACCAGCCCTGCTCCATTGTGCTGATGTGTGTTTGGAGAAACAGCAGAGTCCCTGCTGTGCTGGGCTTAAACCCCTCCTCTGCACACATGTGCACCTTTAGCACAAACACAAGCACTATTTTTGATTTTTTTCTATTTTAGATAACTGCAGAACTGCAGGACAGGGATCAATTTAACATCTCCCTCCGGCGCTTCTTTCTCCTCCTCCTCTCCCCCCGTCCTGTTTATTTCTCTGCTGGGTAATTGTGCACATGCACACAGGAAATGTGGGGTGCTTGAGCTGCGGCATGCACACACACCGTTTCCAACACACATGCACATGCGTCTCCTGCTGAGTGGTGGCTTGTCACTGCTTTTAGGTGTCTGTTTTTGGCTCGGCTTTAATGGTCCGTGTTTACCCAGAACTGAGATTTCTATAATTGGAACATCTGCCCCCCATCCTGCCCCTAAAGAAACCTTAGGAGAAAGGATTGCCCCTCTCTCTCACCACCTTCGTCTCTCACAGATCTCTTCTCAGAGTGTAACAAAAAAAAGGGTTCAAACAAAATAACTCTAGTTTCTTGTTATTTTTAATTCATTTTGGTGCCTGCCTTAAAAAAAAACCCCAAAAAACAAAAAAAAATCACTTCTCTTTCTCTGCCAAAAAAAGAAAGAAAAAAAGAAAAACACAAAACCCAACATCAACATGTTTTACTCTGGAGATGATAAAGACGTTTTTCTGCCACAAAGTGTTAAAATTTGGTCAGATTCAAGAATGAAAAAAAGATTAAAAGGGATGAGTTGCACTTCACATTCACACACTTCTTTGCTTCGACTTAACACAAAGGAGTGAATATGTTTGCAGGGCACTTTGGTTTACACTTGATCAGCCTTCTTGGAACGATGACTTCGCTTTCTTTGAGTTTCAGCGACTTTAGAGCGAAACATCTGATGTCTGATCAATGAATAGCTACGCCAAACCTTCTTGTAGGTTTACCAAGCTTTGATTGTAGAAAAATGTGAAGGAAGTTACTAAAACATAACAAAAAACATCTTCAAAATAATATAATTTTCATAATAATGAAAGAAGACGTGCTGATTATAACTGAGCTGCCTTCACTCAAACGCTTTCCCCTCCGTTTGCTTATTTGAGTGTTTTTCCGTGTGACTGAGTTGTGTGCATTGATATGCAGCGTGTGGGCTAATGCACTTGCAGCCGCCATGTATTCCTTCAGCTTCTGAGGAGTGACAGATACTCAGGCCTGCCCACTAGTGCTCAGACACTGCTTGTTGCGTACAAACATGGCTGACTTCCTGTGCCTCACAGCACAAAAAGGGAAGGGATCTCCACTCTCAGGCCCCTTTAAACGTCTTGTTCCTTAATTATCTTGTAGACTTCTCCAAATGAGAAGATCAAAAGAGACAGATGGGTGTGAGATGTGTGTGTTTGTGGATCATAAAGATAAAGAGGGTGGAGTGTCTGCCCCACGCTTTCTTCGGCTACATTGTGGGCTCCTCCTGTGGTTTTTCTTAGCTCTCTTTCTCCTTACAAAGAGCATTGAGAATATGCTTTTCTGCCTGCCAGTGCGCACTCAGGTGACCAGGCTTGTGCTTATTAGTGAGTCAGAGCCCATGCTCGCACGCTGCTGTCTGCGTGCTCTATATCCCCTGGTGATAATTTAGCAGCATTTTGCAAAGCAGACAAACAGCAGCGCAATTATTTCACCGCGATGCGTCTTCCTGCAAGAATTAGATTGATGAATCCCACTTCCTCCTTCATCACACTTCCATATACGGCAAGCCGTCACGACTACTTCCACTGGTTGGATCGGCTCGTTACCGTGGCAACCCATTCTCACCAGTGGAGGACCCCTCTTCCCTGTTTATTTTTTTTCTCTCCTTTTTTCTTTCCACCTCGATCCCAATGCCTTTTTTTTCCCTCTCCCATCCTTTCTCTTCCACCCGCAGCATCACCACATGTACACAGTTGGATACAGTCAGGCGGCCGGGTACCGAGGGCCGAGGGCCAGGGATGAGAGAGGACAGAATAAGAGAGATTTGAGACATTAGAAATACAATAATGAGATTTTCCATTCAATATCCATAAAAATACTGTAATAAAATGATGTAAAACATAGTAAAAAAGGTGGGGGGAAAAAGACAATCAGTTACGATCTGTGTGTTAAGATGAGGGTGAGTAATATTGTGTTGGTGTAGAGAGTGGAGATGAGTCCCTGCCTCCACTCATCATAAAATCTCTCCCTCTCCTCTCTCTCAAGGCCGTGACAAAACAGGCTTCAGCTCTGGCTCTCAATGAATACGCTCTCCATGCTCTATTTTTATTGCAGACAAAGCCGGCGAGGACGTGGTATTATCTATCAAAACTAACCTCTGTGGATTTCCAAAACCAACCTGACAGTTACAGCAGGTTTTTAGCACAAGAATAATGTTCTCACTTTGGTATTTTGGATCAGCATTAATTATACAAATGACAAGTAAAATATTGAAAATAAAATACACATAAGTTGGTGAACATGAACTCGTTTGGTAGAGAAGTTGTTAAAGGGATAGGCAAAACCTCAAAATAAGGACATCAAATTTACACTGGACAAATTTATGGACATCTTGTCGTAAACCTCAAATACAATTTGACAAATAAACTGAAGCTGCCTTGTTACAATGCTATTGTGAGTAAACTGATGAAACTTAAAAATAGATTGTCACACAACAAATTAAGCACTAAACATAACACACTTGTGTTTGGTTAGTGAATGAATGACTTGTTGTAGCAACTCTTCTTGGTAGTAGTAATGAATCTAATATGTTGCTGAAAAGTATTTTCATTTAGTGTTTTGTTTCTTCAAACTTCACTCATCCAATCAGTGACGTAAAAAAAACTCTGCCGTCCGACCCACAAATGGAGTTGAACTGGATATCATTTTGAAATAAATGGGATTTGCATTGGTGCACTAAATTTCACCAAAAAGAAGCAACAAAGAGATTCACTCTTTTTGGTCAAATTACACAGAAAGTTCTTGTGTTCTTTCAGAACAAACACTGCATCCAGGAATCACAATAGGCATTTTCTTAAGGCTGATGGGAACTGAGTTGAACTAAATCTGTGTTACTAAATTTACGTTTGTACATTATTCTGGTCAGAAACATCGAATTGGCACGTTGTGCCAGTTTTGATTGTGAACATTTTAATAACAGTTTTGAAAATAGATGTTTTGATTCATTATAGGAGCTTAAAAAGAGACAAACATTTACTGGATGTCAGGCTATACAGAGGGGTGTACTGAATGCACTGAAAACGGATGAGAATAATGTTGCTCATAAAGAAAGATCATCTTAATATAATCTCAAACTTATTTCATCATGAGCTTAAAAGGCAAAATAAATCAGATAATGCCAGTGGCCAGGCCTAATATTAACATTGTCCATCAAATTGTGCATGTTCAAACATTTCCAACATGCAATGTCTCTGTTCCACCATGGATGATTAACAGAGCAAAACTTTAACTGTTAATATGTCGTCATTTTGGTGTGAATTATTCGAATGCATTGACATGAAGAAAAACCAATCCATGAAAAACACTGGACATCTGTGTGTTTGTTTTTTTTATGATGATGATGATTGTAGTCATCACCCTGGTGATACCGGGCATTTTTTTTTTTGTTTTGTATTTGCAAGTGTACAGATGACGGATTTAACACTTAGCAGCTCAGCTATCATTTGTAAAAGGAGCGATTATCTGCTCATCTGTGATGAAGACTTGCATAGTGAGGTTATTGTGGGAAAACAGAACAAGAGAAACTACAGGAGTGAACAGATTTTAATCACATCGACTGTCTTCTCTAAGTTGATGTTTTAAGAGTATGTAATAATAAATGCTGTATTTAATCTCGTGTTCAGAAACCCTTCAGATTCTTATCAAGAATATCCTGGTGCTTTTCTCCATTTATTTTTACTTCAAAATAATTCGAGCCTGCTGTTCCCTGTAAGGCAGCCCACACCACGAAGTTCCCAAACTTTACTTTTGATGTTTTTGGAGAATCATTCTTCTTCCAATCATGGTGTGTGCAACAGCATCCACAGAGTTCATGCTCAACCTCATCTTTCCAGACCAGTATTTCTCTGGTTTCTACAGATCTTCAGCAGCAAACATCAAACAAAGTTTAACATCCTATTTCTTCAACAGTGGGATTGAAGATATTACAGTTTAGTGCTTTACTTATTGTTTTCATAAGGAAAACATTACCTCCTATTCCCACGTCTTTCTGAAGCGTCCAGTGAGTGCATCTGGGCTCTTCAACAACTCTTTTGGTCATTGTTTTGACTCGTCTTTTAGAAATCTTTCGGTGGTCACTTGGACATGACGTCTTGTTTTTGCCCTGGTGGGGATGCTGTTGTTAACATAAAAAGCAGAAACACGTTATGAGAAGATGCATTATATGTTCAGTAACTCAGTCACAATGCTGTGTAAATATTTGCACATTGAAGTATGTGCAGATCAGTTGTTTCCATCTGACATGGCAGCATTGCGTGTCTGTTGATGACAGATAACACCTGATCACACTATGAACACCTGTGTATGTGTGCTGGTTTTTGTCTGATTTTTAAAAATGTTTTCTTTTCCAATCAACAATGAAATGTATTTTTTCTGAATTACATTTTATAGTTTAGATCTGTTTAGATTAGTCAGATGAATGCTGGTGTGTGGTCGGTCATCTGAATGCTGGTGTGTGGTCGGTCATCTAATCCCTGTCCTCTTTGTCTCTTTCCTTCCATTTTTCCTCTCAAACTACATCTCCTTCTTTGTTTTCTGTCTCTGTTTCCTTGTCTTGTTTGCTCCAGCGGATATCATCTCCACTGTAGAGTTCAACCATACAGGAGAGCTCCTGGCCACGGGGGACAAAGGAGGCCGTGTGGTCATCTTTCAGAGGGAACCAGAGGTATTAGCACACATCAACAAATACAAAGGATCTTTGCACAACAGTAACAAATAAACCATCTTCCATTCCAGCTGCAATATTGTCACATTATCACATTAACAATCAGGTCTGGACATTAACTTTACATGTTCCTTTTGTTTTTTTTTTTTTTTTTTTTTCACAGAGCAAGTCTGAGCCATTTTCCCAGGGAGAGTACAACGTGTACAGCACCTTTCAGAGCCATGAGCCCGAATTCGACTACCTTAAAAGTCTGGAGATTGAGGAGAAGATCAATAAGATCCGATGGCTGCCTCAGCAGAACGCTGCTCACTTTCTCCTCTCCACCAATGGTGAGAGCAGAGAACAATCCATTGCACATCCCACCCCTAAACATCTTAAAGAAGCCAGGGCCAATTTTTAACTAGAGGTGGGCGTTATGACGATATTAGGCTCTAATGCATGAGAGTCATCTGTCAAAGCAGAGATCCTCATATGAGTAGCATCATTTCATAGTAGCAGGAAATTCAATAAGGCAACAGAATAAGCCATAATATTGTGGAATTTGGTATTTTGTAAATGTGACAGAACAAATCTGGATTTGCACCAACAATCAAAATGTTTTCAACCCTTTAGAGAGATGCTTAAATTGTTTGAGCAGCAAAAACAGAGACCGTGTTGGCTGCTGCAGCTCATTTATTGCAGGGCTGTTGAAATCCAGGGATCCAAGGCTCTGCAGGTTTGTTGCATCTCCAACACAACTCCAATCTCCAGTGACTCAAATCACTGAATTACTTCCAGACAAAACATTTTTCAGGACATTAGACTTCTTAGCTAGACCGGTTAGCTTCACATCTGAGGACTTATATTGTTACTGTCTTAATATATATTTGGTAATTATTTGATTTCATACAAGTCAAATAATAGCTTAATGTAGAATTTACTGAGAGCTCTGGGCAATTAAACTGATGCGACTGATTTGTTTTTGTGTGAGCAGAACCTCTGAATTTTTCTTTTTAAGCTATCCAGATGGCAATATGAAAACACAGTTTATTTTAGAGGTGTAAGCGTCTGCACTGTCGGGATTTCAGACTTTTCTGTGAGGAAAAGGTTATTTATTTAGATATTTCTTCAGGGGGAGGCAGATTTTACTTCACCTGATGCTTCACAAATTGTAAACTGCATTAGCATCCCAAGCTTGTGTTGCTTGGCAGAGGAGTCTGGATTTATACTCCACATCCCAAGTTTATGTCTTTATGGTAAGATCTATAGGTTTACCCTGAGAGCCACATCATTGATTTTTTCTTGTATTATATTATTTATGATGGAGAGTATTAAAAATGAAGGAGCTGCTTCAGCATATCAGTGTTGAACCTACAGAGAAGATGTCTTCTTTCCAGTGTCCTGGTATGAAGTGTATTTGAACAGCATGTTCATGTTGTTTCTTTCGTCTTTTTTCAGGATATTGCCAAACATTATTTGAAATTCATATGACATATATTTAGTTTTTACATCACCTCTCGCTACAAAACCTTTAAATCCCTAAACTCTTTTCACAACAAGATGATCTTGAAACATTCACTCCTCTTGGATGAGCATTTGGCGACAGCAGACAATCCTCCCAAAAATGCATGTGGTGATAATGGAGAGGAAAACTCGTTTTCAACAGGAAGCAACCTGGCTGAGTACAATTGTTCGTCTGCCATGATCGAATGGCTGTTTGAGAACTCAAAGCATGCACACAAAAATGCACAGAAGCACTGATCTGAGTTATTTTCTATGTTAAAATGAGCGACTGCATAAATATTCCCCCCCTTTAAAGAGAGTGACCTAATTTAACTGAGATCCAGCCAATTGGTGCTACTGGTCTAATAATAAGTGGAATGGAATGAGTGCAATGATTGTGTTTCTAGTGATAGTAGTATAAAAACACCTGCGTCTGGAAGGTCCATTCACCGGTTAATCTATGTCTCTGGTTGTCATTACAGCCTGAAGACAAAAAACACCTCAGGAACATCAGAGCAAAGGTTGCAGAAAAATATAAGTCAGGAGATGGATACAAAAAAGCTTTTAAAGCTCTGCTTTTTTGTAATATTTTTTGTTAAAAAAGCCAAATTAGGTGGCCAAGATTGACATGCAAAAGCTTTGTTTGATCCTGTGGCAAGAAGTGTTTCAAATAGAAAAATCTGTTTTTGCAGCATGGGATATTCTTACTTTTTTGATATGGAGGGTCTTTGGGATAAGTGAGGGATCTCACTCCATCCTATTATACTGTGACAAAATTACTTAGTATTATAAAAATGGCTGCAGGCTGCAGGTAGGTGTCTGTGAGGCTGCAACAAGCTGCTCTCTGCCAGAGTAATGGGCTAAATTACTTTATATACTCTAATAAAGCGACTGCTATTTGTTTGTCTTTGTAAACAGCTCGGTATCTGCTTAGTCCTCACACCTACACGTTTTCTAAGCTTGATAAAATCCTAGGAATCTAGAGAAATACCTCCAACATGTCTGGGTTTGCAGACCTCATCAAGAGATGACTCCGTTTTAGGAATTCCCTTCATAATTTGCCTAATTGACCTGGTTTGTTTTCCAGATAAAACCATAAAGTTGTGGAAGGTGAGTGAAAGAGATAAACGACCAGAAGGATACAATCTGAAGGATGAAGAAGGTCGCATCAAGGATATCTCTACAGTCACCTCTTTGCAGGTATAAATTCATCTTATCTTATTTTATCTTATCTTATCTTATCTTATCTTATCTTATCTTATCTTATCTTATCTTATCTTATCTTATCTTATCTTATCTTCTTGCTGGTTGTTGAGCTGGGCAGTGAAACTGGGTCAGTAGATTCAGCTGTGCTTACATGTACAAAAGTGGGTCAGTAGCACAAGGTACACATGAGAGTGAGTTAATGGGGGAGGTGGAATCCTTTAACATGAGCAGCTGCTTCAGCCGAACATCTGCTCTTGATCTAAATTGTTTAAAGCATTTGTGTTCATAGTAGGACTTAAATCAGTCGCAAACTGGTGAAGAACTAATTCAGCCTAAGATGACGTGAATTTTGATTTTTCTCTTATTTTTTTTATTTGATGGGTTGTAACATTAAATATTAATATATAGTAGTATTTTTTAAATAAAATATATCTGCTATATATATATTTTTTTTTTTCGTATATGCAGCCAGAAGGGACATAATGCTGCTCTGGCTTTTGTTTCCAGGTGCCGGTCTTGAAGCCGATGGACCTGATGGTGGAGGTGAGCCCCCGGCGGGTGTTTGCCAACGCCCACACGTACCACATCAACTCCATCTCGGTCAATTCGGACTATGAGACCTACATGTCAGCGGACGACCTGAGGATCAACCTCTGGCATCTAGACATCACAGATCGCAGCTTCAGTATCCTTTTACTGTAACAATCGAGGCAATGTAGACTCCCAACTCTCACACACACAAATACATCAATAAAGTGTGTACACATACTTGTATAATTTCAAATTCCTAATGATTCCCTCCGCCCACCCCCTCCACCCACCCACCCACCCACACACACACACACACACCCACACAATATCTTCCACTTTGCAAATCCCACTTTACTGTACAGATAAAAGCCCCCTGCTGTTGGGGGAGGAGCATATTATTGCTGAGGAGTGAAACTATGTCCTAATGAATAATGCAGAAGCTGCATAAATATTCAAGCCCCTTTCTGGGTTCTAATCCAGGTCGGATTGCAAAGCATTCGCATGCAGAACCCAGACAGGATTAAATTATTACAGTTTATCTGAATACAGAATTACTTTTCACTCAACAACTTCCCTAAAGATGTCTTTTTATTAGTTTGTTTTATTCAGTTGTGTATTTGGCTGTGTTGCCTGTGTTTATGTTATTGTAAGGCTTTGCAAACATTTTTCTATTTTTTTGTGAAATAAAAAAGTTACTTTTGCAGAATAAAGCAGTAACTGATTTCCTGCTGTTTCCCTGAACAATGGCTCTTTCTATCAGACATTGTGGACATCAAACCAGCAAACATGGAGGATCTGACGGAGGTGATCACAGCTGCAGAGTTTCACCCCCTCCACTGTAACCTGTTTGTTTACAGCAGCAGCAAAGGCACCCTGCGCCTCTGTGACATGAGAGAAGCAGCGCTGTGTGACAAGCACTCAAAATGTAAGCATTCCTGCTGCGACACAGTCAGAGGTTATTTTATTTATCTTTTTTTGTTTTTTATTTTATCCGTGATGATTTTTAAATCTATGATTTTGAGCGTTTAGTTTGTCTGTTTTTTTATTTGGCATTTTGGTGAAAACATTTTATGTGGTGGTTAATTGATTTCTTGCGACTACTAGAACAATTTTTTATACAGCTGTTTAAGTTTACAGTGTAGAAATTCTATCAAGAAGTTCCTTAGCATGCACTAAATCTCATATAACATGTTGGTTATTTGGAACATAGGGCAGCGTTTCATAAATCTGCCTCCTCTAAGGGACACAAATCATTTGATGATAGGTACCTTTAATCTTTAATGCTAGAGCCCCGAGGTACCAAAGCTGCCTTTTTATTGCCCCCTTTCTTCCTGCTGAAATGCCTACCATTTGATTTACAGCTCTGACCATGCATGAGTCACTGATGCAAAGGTCCTTCGCACAGCATACTTATTTTGAAGCTAGGGCTTTTATTTTAATTGGCAAAATCATAAAAATAACTAAAATTTGCAGAGGTTGACACAGAGCAGTATTTCAGAACGGTACACTTAAAGAGTCTTTGCCTTGCTGTCACTATAAAAACTCATCAGAGTTTGTGCTTCTATTACAAAGCTAAACAGCGCTGGTGTTCACCTTCTTCCTACTCTATCTCCCTCACTTTGTGCAGTGTTTGAGGAGCCCGAGGATCCTAGCGCTCGCTCCTTTTTCTCTGAGATTATCTCCTCTGTGTCTGATGTGAAGTTCAGCCACAGCGGCCGCTACCTGCTCACCAGAGACTACCTGACTGCAAAGGTGTGGGACCTCAACATGGAGAGCAAGCCCCTGGAGACATACCAGGTCTGTGTGACCACTAATAGGTCACTGTGTGTATTGACAGAGACCCCAAAAAGTCTGGTTCTCTATTATTTAGAGAAGTTCTCATTTGAAAAAGTCTGCAGACTTGTAGCTTTCCACACCTTGTTTAAAACAATTGAAAAAAGCTATAAAACACCTCAACTCCAAGACCAAACTTTATGGTAAAGTTTTACTTATAAGTTTACTTTTAAGACTTATCCGCCAAAACTCATGTCGTGTTTACTTTTGCTGTGTCGCCGGCTGACCATAGTTGTGTTGCTGCCATTCAAAATAACAGTTTGAGACATTAATTAGGAGGCAGAAACTTTTCCCCACATGTGCACAGTCCAAAGTAATGATTGCATCTTTCCACATAACCTTTCTGGAAAAACTCAACTGAATTTAGGCCAGAGTAAGCTGATGTCAGCCCTAAACCTTTTTGGTAAATGTAGTTCACTGGACGTCATGTGAAGATTAAAACAGCTTTGCGTGCTTATCAAATACTAAGTTGATCAAATAATCTCCTCTTCAAACAGTCATTTCTGATTGTTTACATGACAAAGGTCACACAACTTTCTGTTTGTTCGTTTATGATGATCCACTAAGTCTCTGTGAGCGTCCAGTGTTGCTGTGACGGGTGTTTAGGCGGACACGTCTGCCTGCAGGTAGTGCTGATGTGTGAGGGCCCCTGAGGCAGCCTTGAGTGGGAGGCAACGACGCGCTGGAGCTATTTATAGGCTGCAGAGCCTCCACTCATAAAGTAAAGCTGGAAGGAGGGATACCTTACACAGTGGCTGACACCTAGATCTGCAATGCAGCACAGAGAGGGAGGGGGCAGAGGGAGAGCAAGGGGGAGAACCAGGGTGTGGGACTGGGAGGCAGACTGGGGGCAGATAGCGCGATGGAGAAGAGAAGAACGGGAAGGGTAAAGAAAAGGATGCAGGAGTGAGAAGAAAGTAAATGATATAAATATCTGTATTGTTGTAATTACTTCGACACGTAGCCTGAAGGTGCAAAACTGGACAGACTGAGAAAAACAAGCAGCATGTGGGTCAGACTTACTTTACCTTTAGCGTTTATAGGCAGCACTTTTACAAATATCTCACAATACTTAAATCTGAAATTTTTGCTTTATTTCAAATTTCCACTTTTTGTAAAGCTGTTATCCAATATGCGCTCGGAATATTTATTTCTGGTGTTTATGATGATAGAGATAATTAATTAATTAATATGTTTGTGAGAGAAAGGAGCCAGAGTAAACTGGATTTTACTGTCATTTTAAAAGACTTGAGTTCACTTTTAACACAATCTCTGTATAGACATCGCAGATCTATACTGTGCTTTCAGTTTTCCAGAACCTCCTTGTTCCACAGCAGACAGAGGCTGTAAAAAAACTCAAGAGGAAAAAACTTTTGTGAGGCACATTTTGTAAGGAATGCCACAATTTTTGTTTCAGGTTTTTTGTTAATTACTTACAGAAGGAACATTGATCGCCATGTTGCTGTCACGTGTCTTTATATCACATGTACTTGTAGCACAGCCTTAATTTGAGATATTTTTACGTTGAGAGAATTACATTTTCATTTCTTCTTTCTCAGTAAGTGAGGATTATAAAGCTCTACGCTGCAATCAGCGTCATGTTTCAAATCTGATCGCGCATGGATTATACAAAGCTCTGCAGAGTTCCCACAAAGTAAAAAAAAAAAAAAAAAAAACGTCTCAGAAAGATTTATGTACTTTCAAAGTATATACAATAGAAAACAACAGAACATTTTTATTTATCTGTCCCATTGTCTCAATGCACCAGTGGGAACCTTTATTGGTTTTTTTGGTTTTTGCTTATTATGCATATTGTGTATATCATTTCTGACACTACGAGAAAGTCTTTGAGAGAAGAAAACAGAGAAACAAATCACACTACACTTCCCTCATACATCAATCTAATGAGCCGGCACAAATAAAAAAAAAAGCCAAAAAGAACTATATACCACAGTGGTTGTTTGGAAGAGATGGGTGTTTATAAGAGATTATGCAGACAGCAGAAAATAGTCTCCAGTTCCAGCTGACATTGTCCCTTTTGACCCCCGGGTGGAAAGGTCCGTTGGGAGAAACAAAAATGTCCCAAGAAGTGATGTACAAGCACAAAGCGACCTCAGCTTGACCGTTTATTGATTACAAGGAGACTGACTGCTGACTTTATGCAGAATGTGGAAGGTGGGATGCACATCACGGCGGCTGCAGGTTGCAAAAACTTGCATCACCAAAAGACACAGTGCTGAACTGGAAAGGTCGAATGGAAACACGAGGGAAACAGCTAACAACTGTGTCTGAGTGAAGGTGTGATGAAACTGAATTGGATTTTAATGAACTGAGTTGCTATGGAACAGCTTTTTGAATTAAAATAAACTCAGATCCTGAATGTGGATGGTTCTAAGACAGATCGACCAAATTGCTCTTTTCGTAGATTTGGGTGTTTGTGCCTGCCTGCTGTGAACCAGAGCCTCAGAGTGACACTGCCGTGTCCCACCATAACATTTTATTTCATGTCCGTGTTTTTCTCCAGGTACACGATTACCTCCGCAGCAAGTTGTGCTCCCTTTACGAGAATGACTGCATCTTTGACAAGTTTGAGTGTGCCTGGAACGGCTCGGACAGGTAAGTCTTTGTGCTTTGATGAGCAAAAACATATTTTATTTGGAGAAATCCATTGCTGGTCATCCAAATGGCTGACCGGTTTGATATCTGTGGTCTGGGTGAACGGCCATGTTTTAAGAGGTTTTGAGTTCGAGCCACAGATTTTTCTTGTTTGAGTGAGGGATTGAACACGGCACCTTGGGATGTTCAACGCCTGATATTGTTTTTAAAACTTCTTTGCAACTTTATGTCTAACTTGTTTCCTGTGAACTTTAGTCTTCATGATGCTCTCACTAATGTTCTCTAAGAAATCTCTAACACCTTAAATTTCACTCTGATAAAATCTTGCTGATTTATTACACATGCTGAATTTTATTTAGGGGTATCAAAATAGCTGTTCTGTTTCTGTTTTGTCCAGTGTGATTATGACCGGCGCCTACAACAACTTTTTCCGAATGTTTGACCGCAACACCAAGCGAGATGTGACCCTGGAGGCGTCGAGGGAGAGCAGCAAACCCAGAGCCGTCCTGAAGCCACGGAGGGTCTGCGCCGCCGGCGGGAAACGGCGGAAGGACGACATCAGCGTGGACAGCCTGGACTTCACCAAGAAGATCCTGCACACGGCCTGGCACCCCAACGAGAACATCATCGCCATCGCCGCCACCAACAACCTGTACATCTTCCAGGACAAACTCAACTCCGAGATGCACTGATGAAGGGTCCAAACGAGTTTACAAGCAAACATGCAACTATGCTAGAATGTACATTATCAGACTCAAACGCTGGCCCACAGAACCCAGGAAGATGCCTAACGCACACAGTCAGAATGCATACACACATTCATTCTACCCTCCCACAAGTGAACGGAGTCCAGTCAGGGATACAAAAAAAAGGAAACTGGCTGCATTACACAATGGGTTATTATTGAAAATTGTCCAAACTGTTTATTTTTATTGTTATCCTGTGGATTGTGGTAAAAGGTGTGGTAATCACCACAGCTTGGCTTCTGAGTGGGATCAGATCTCCTCTCAGGCTGGAAGGACGTTTACATGTCTTTGTCTTTTTCTTTTTTAACTCTTCAGGTTCTCTTGCTTTCTCCACCTCCTCCTCCTCACCTCTCTGTAGTCGTGCGCTCAAGCAAAGCCTATTCTTATCCCCTTTGCCCACTGTTTTGTGTAACAAAAAAAAAAAAAAAATCGGGCCATTTATATAACTGTCTATTTTTCATTCCAGATAAAGCTCTCTGTTTTTGTAACTTCTTGTTAAATGTCGACGACGAAATTCAGATCTGATGATGAAAACGAAGCGACACGTGAGATATGCAAAGATGAACCCCGTGACTTTCCCCTCATCCCAAACTGCACCAGATGCCTCTGCCCTCAAGAGGGGTGAAGCATTCGCAGTCCTGCAGGCAGAAGCAGACGTTAACAGACACAAACCCACTACAGGCCGTGTGTTTAACCAATGACTGTTTTCATTTTTAGCCAAAACACATCCAAACATATCAGTTTGTGTTTTTTCGCTTCTGATCTAGGGCTGTTGTGTGTGCTGCTGCTTCAACACTCGATACATTAAACTCAGAATAAGCAAAAAAAAAGTACAAAATAATAATAATAATAATAAAAAAATTTTAAAAATGGCGAAGAAATATTTTCAACAATCAAGCAAAAAGATGCTGCATGTTCAACAGATTTACTTTATAAATCGTCTGTCTGACTGACTTGGCTGCCTTCTTTAAACATTTAAGCCTAGCTGTAGAAAAGCTTCAGGGGAACCTGGGGGTGGGGGGCCCCGGTGGGGAGGCCCCAGGGGCCCCTCACAGCAGCACGAGCCGCCGTAGATGACCGTTGACCTCCTGTTTGTGTCCTCGGATGCTGAAGCATGTTTACTCGAGTTCGGTTTGTACACGTCCATTCTGAATGAAACTGAGAACCGAGAAAAATGGGGAATGTTTCAGATTAAATGTTGTACTTTAAAATAATCAGAATAACAACAACAAACAAAACAAAACAAACTTTAGAGCAGGCTCAGTGGTGTCTGTATATAACAGCTCTGTTTCTGACATCAGGTTTCGTTTCGTCTGTCGACCAATTGCGGACTTGCCTCCAAAGCTACAGCGGAGTGATGGTACTTTAATCTCTTCGGCCTTCCTCACCGATTCCTTTTTTTTGGATGTGCAGACTTTTTTATATTTTAAAAGACGAGCGCTTCTTTGTTTGTCGGTCGTACTCCATGTCTTTATCAAATACAGTTGATTGACATATTTTTGTCTAAATATATGTTGACATAATTGTCAAATGGACAGTTATAAATAATGTTAATATCTTTCTTTGTTTCTTTCTGTTTTTTCAATAAAGGATTCAACAAAATTGCACCCAATGAGGACACAGTTGTAGTTTCTGTTGTAAACGTGTGGCTGGAAATCTTGTTCATTTATGTATACCCAAGCACCACCTAGTGGCTGTAGATTGTTATTACGCTTGAATGCGAAAGAGGAGTGACAGACAAATCGTCCAAAAACTTGAAACGTTACTGAATAATTGACCAGCAATGCACATGAATTTAATTTTTTTTTATCTTTTGTGACCATGTATGCTTTTCTAAACACTTAAGTAGTGGACATAAAAAAAAGTCACACTGTTGAAATGCAGAATTGTGAGACGCAAACGAAATCATTTAGAGAAAAATGTTTACACATTTATTGTGACTTTGTGTATAGCACCAACCAAAAAAACAAACTGCTAGTGCAACTACACAAATTACCCTCCAATGCTGAAATCTTTTTTATTTAGATTTCAGCATTCTTGAGTTCATACCAGCCATCATGAACCTGATTAACTTAGTTAACCATTTTAGCCAGATTTCTTCCTGACATTTGCAGTTCTTAACTTGTGCTGTAGTTTGCAGAAATCTAAAAATACCAAGGAGTCGCAACAAAAATACAAAAAAGTCCACAGTATTATTTGTGTTCGATGGCAAAGTGGAGAAATTAATGTGAAATATGGAATGACACTTTTGGTAAGTGAAGATGTGATATGAAAATAGACTTCAACGTTGCTGAGGTGCTGAAAGTAAAACAAAGAGTTTTAGCAAATTATTTTTAACGTGTATGCATAGTTGAAAGAGCAAAGTTGTTGCAACTTTGTAACATTTCACCTCTTACGTCTTGTTTTCCAATTGCACAAGATGTACAGTATGTCACATTAAGGCGAAAAATAAAACTCGTCTTTTTACAATTTGTGTGTATTAGAGTGTACATTTGAGATTTTCCACATCTCTAAAATGTTCAGGACCGTTTTTTTTTTTTGTTTAACCAGAGTTTATGCAGTTTAGGTACATATGAGGCATTTTGTCTTTATTGTAACATGAACATATCACTACTCCCTGAAGGCAGGCAGTAACACCACAGTCATTGAAGTACTAAGAAATTTAAAATCTGGCTTTACACAAATGACACTGAAATGGAGACCTCCAAATCTGCTCTAGCAGTTTTTAATAAAAACGAAAAGCTATTGTTTTGACATATTTATGGGTCACAGTACAGAAAACAGTAGTGCCATCCAAAACAGACCCTCAATCAGGGACTAAATGTTCAGTATATTAAATCCCTGCACAGCAGAGACGTAGACAAAACACTGTTGGAAACAAACATGGAATAATAAAGCAAGCAAAAACAACATTGTCAAGCTGTTAAATTTACAATGTTGCCCCCTTTCAAATTTTGTTTATTTTTATCTAAGCATGACAAAGTCGGGCAATTACGTTTTCACATAGAACAAGATTGACTTGGAAAACTTTTTTTCTCTTAATGAATAAACTTTTTTTTTCTGAAAGCAGATGTCTGTAATAACTCAGGTTTTCAAAGTCAAAAGTTATTTGAGGATCTGAAATATTACATTTCATTTGAAACAAAAGAAGCAAAACAGAACACAAATCTGTAAGGGGGCAAAGACTTTTTATCCAACTCTAATTGAATTTCACAAAAAAAGAAAAAAAAAATCACCATGTACTGAGCACTGTTAAATAATTTAGTGTTGATCAAAAACAAAAGATCTCCTTCAAACAGTGTGTCCTTCAATAACTATAGGACAAACAGGAACAGATGGAGCCCAGAAAATCTCAAAGACTTTAGCCACCAAATATGAGATTTTACAGGGAACATGTTTGAATAGCAACAAAAGAAAAATCACTTGATTAACTCTTAAGGTCAGCACACATGAAACCTCAACTGGAGGAAAGGTTTCTAAATAACTCATAGCAAACCTGTAGCAATAGGCAGTAAATCCTGATCGCTTTGTACTTTCACTCTGTCTTCTGTCATGTTTATGTTTTGGCTCAAAAGCTGTAAGAACTCAAACACATATTGGCAGATATATTGAGTCTCGTAAAAGTATTCACACCCTAATGAACTTTTCACAATATGTCACATTACAGGCACCAACGTCAATCTACTTCAATGTTTCTGTTTTTTAATGTGGTAGATCAACAAAAACAAGGCATAATAAGAAAGTGAAAGAAATGTTGCATTATTCTTGATTGTCTTGTGTTATATGCATTCACATTCATCCTCTTTTTACTCTGATAAACAGTAATCAATTTCTTTCTGAAATGCTGAAATCAAGCTCATTCTCAATCCATCATGAAGACCAAGAAGTGCAGCAGACAGGTTAAAGGTTACATTGTGGGGACGTTTAGTGTTATAAAACCAATATCTAAAGATTATGGCACAACTGCAGCTCATCCAAGACTTCGCTGTCCATCCAAGGCTGGATAGAGAGAGCAATAAAACTGTCCTAATAAGCACATAATCGCATTTTAAATTAAAATGAGCTTAATATTCCATTTTATTTAAGGTTTGGGTGATGCAAGATTTTTATTTCTGCTTTATTTGTTGTTCTCGGTAGTGTTTTATTTTGGTTTTAGTGTGGCACTTTCTGTACAAAAGCAAAGTTTATTAGTCTATAACTATTTGAGGGAGAAAGTAAGCCCTAAAAACTGTGTTCAAGGTTTTGCAAAAATGTATAGGATACAGCAATCATGTGGATAACGGTGCTCTAGTCATAGGAGACCAAAGTGGAACTTTCTGATCTCCATGTAAAAATGTGTGAGAAAAAGCTGTCACTGCTCCTTATGGTTAAACATGGAGGCAGTAGGGTCAGTAGTCAGTAGGAGGATGAATTGAGCTAAATTACAGAGAAATTAAAATCTTTTTTTTGAAGTACTTGAGGATGTGGAAGACGTTCACCTTTCAATTACTACAAATGTATAGCAAGACCTAGCACAGCATGCCTTAGATCAGAGCTTATTTTGTGTTAACACAAAAATCAGACAGATCTTCAGCTTTTGATCCCCAGTGAGGTACGGTTGAGGTTGTAATGTAACCAATGTGACGATGTTCAAGGAGTGCGAGGGCTTTTAAAAGACAGCGAATGCCTGAGGATTTGTTTGTTCCTTGTAGTCAATAACCAATATTGCAGATATATAGGTGTCGCACAATCATTAGTGGTCTTCGATAGCTTTATTATTATGAGGCCTCTTCTGTTTAAGAATTGTCCTCCTGCTCCACCATTTCTGTTTCAGTGTCTGGCTGCTCTTCTAGCCGAGCTGTCAGGAAGGGGTTGAAGAAGAAGTCGAACCCAAACTGGAGAGCGTTTTGAGCTGTGCGCCTCCAGTCGTGCTCAATCTTGAACTGTTTGCGCTTGGGAATGCGGGCATCCCCGCAGGACACACAGTGGATGGCCTTCATCTCAAACACGGGCCATTTGGAGCCCAAACGCCCTTCCAGGATGGTGCTGAACTCCACCAGACTGCCAGCGTTCAGGTGTAAAAGCACAGACTTGAACTCGTTACTCGCCCGCAAGACTATGTCCTTGGTTGCATCTTCATCTTCTATGATTGTCCCGTCCTTAGTCTTCCTCTCGAGCGGCATTCCCAGTGTGACCTCAAACTTGTACCGGTCAAAGCGCTTGACGTGGCACTCGTGCTTGGCCAGGGTTTTCAGTTTGCAAAGCTGATCTTCTTGAGGAGGAGCTGGAGCCGGCAGCGGTTGAGGCTCAGCAGCTGCGTTTTGTTTCCCCTCATCACACACCGGATAGGGTTCGCCATACAGACAGCGCATCCAGTTTCCTAGAAAAACAGGAAACAAGTTGATCGTCGACTGCGGCCCATTCTCAATTTCCGTCACACGGACATATTTAAAGCGTCCCGTCCAGGTGACTCTGTGTCCTTCCAGGTGGGAGCAAAGAATCTGAGTTTGGGCCATGTTGGACTCCTTCCAGGCCAATGGCCCGCAGAGGTTGCTGTATTCAGGCCATGTCAGGGTAGAGTTGTACACCTTCATTCCTTCAGACCTGTAGACATACATCCAGCAGAAAAGCATCACCGCACTCAGCCACACCAGGATGAGCTTGACGACGCTGCTCCGTGACAAAGACCTCAAAAGCACGATGGGGTTGAGGCTGAAGCGAGTCCAGAGCCTCAACACCACGGGCACAAAGCAGACAATCAGTGTCACCACCATCTTTGTTACCTCCAGGGTCAGAAACCACTGCACTAACTGGATCATAATCATGGCAGCCAAACCCAGTGTGAGAACAGGAAGGGCAAACAGGAACAGGAAGTAGCCTATACAAGTCCGAATTAGTCCTATGGCTGAGGCGTTATTGAGGAATGCCAAGCAAAGTTCACACCAGGTGAAACAAACCAAGTAAGGCACCAAGCACAGGTAGGTTCCCTTGAAGCCTTTCAGCTGGGCCATGCGGAAGAGAAGATAGAAGAGGTGTCCGTACAAAAGCCACGGCATGCCAAGATTTAACACCACGGCGTCTCCGAGAGGCACTGTGACAAACGTCTTCCCAAAGATCCGCAAGAACCAGAAGGAGTTGGGTAGCAGCTGAGTGAGGGAGCATGCTCCTGAAAGGACCTCAGTGAGAAGGGCTTTACGGGCGAAGAGCTGAGCAGAGGCGTGGAGGCTGAGGAAGGCTGTGATGGTGAAGAAGAGCGCGATGGCAGCTAGCTCTGAGCAGGGGACCCAGGATTTATCGGCAACAGGGAAGGAGAACACAACGAAGACCACTGAGAGCAGGAAGTACCTGAGGGAAAACAGAAACAAGGGTCAAAATACACATACAGGACCATGTGTATTTGTATATAATCTTTGAGCAAATGTGCCTCAGTATGTTGAACCTGGACCACAAACTTGTTGAAGCCATCAACAAATTAAATATTTGTCTACTCCTCTGGACACATTTAGCAGAAATAACTGAACAGGCAAAGGCACCAAAGTGCATGGAAGTGTCTGACAAAAGGTGTAGATTCCATATGTATCTATGGAATTTCTTCTTTTCTCATACAATCTTATTTTCAAACAAAATTTTAATAAAAAAAACAAAAACAGAATTGGACCTAAAAGTTTGCTCATCGCTCATCCAGTAAAAACATCAACAAATAAATAAATAAATAAAACTCAAGGTGACCTTACAGGTAAGGTTCCAAGTGTGTCCATCCAAAATTGGTCTCAGCCTGGTCCAGATCCAGACCAGGCTCAAAATGAGCGAGCAGGTCTGTGAGAGCTCGGAAATTTTCCCACGCCTTTGAATTCTAGAAAAGACAAACGCATCTTTTAAATGTGAACTTATTGATTCTTCAATATTTCATGAATCTAAAACACAGTCTCAGTGTTGTCAAAGAGGGAGCAAGTCGTAACTAACCTGAAAAACCCGCAGTGTGCAGATGACCATGGAGAAAAAGGAGAGGTAGAAAATCAGCAGCGGGATGATGAAGATGAAGAACTCAATGGTGAGGTTGGAGATGATGAAGAAAAAGATGAGTGCGTTAACGTGGTGAGTGGGGATGAGGGCGCTGAGCCACTGCATGCCGGCCCGCGACGCCCAGTCTATGAGATGCTCTTTTATCTCCAGCAGAGCGTACAGAGGGAACTTCAGCAACTGAGAGAGACACATGATGTAAACATTTATGTTTGTGGAGAGTTTATAAATGCTCAAATTGACCAAAATGGCACAATATGTAAAATAAAGTAATGGCAAGTTCAAATTCCCAAATGTGTTGCGCACAATTCTCATACGGACATGCAAAACAAACTTGTAAATTGTGCAGAAATATTTGCGAGGAACAGAGTCTCACCTTCTGATGAAGCGGCAACTCATCTGGATTTTTCACGACCACATCATCATCGTCATCATCTACTGCAGCGGCCATGGCGGGTGATGGTGCAATACCCTGAGCATATTTCTTTGTCATCTCAACAAAATCATCCAGACCCACATGAGAACTGGCTGTAATGAAAGAAAAAAGAAAACCTATAAACCCTCTTGAAAAAAAAAAGTTTCATAAGCAATCCATAATGGGAAACCTTAAATAAATAATCATTCCATCATGCATGATTTAAAGGGGACCTATTATGTTTAATCAGGAGTTTTTTGAAATAGCTCTTTTTCCAGACACCAAAAAAAACATTCACTTATTGCCAACAAATTGTTTTTTTAGTGCATTTATAAGCATTTGAGACCCAAATGGAGTAAAAAAAACCCTGAAAAATGCGAATTTTACAAAACAGTTCTCATTACCAATGAAAATGAGTCATTATATGTTAAAATATACAAACCTTCTCTGGAGACCATGGTCTCCAGGACTCGCCTTTGTTTCTTAGCAGAGCTGTTGAGTGGGGCTGAGCAGATGGGTTTGCCTACAGCAGAAAATGGAAGTAAATAATTGACAAAAAGGTAGAGAAGAAAAGCTTAAATTGTGTAAAAATGTTCCTTTTCGCACCTGCTTCTGTGTGAACATGCTCCACGTTCTCCAGCAGCTCAGAAACTGCCACAGACTTCTTCTTCTCTGGGTTCAGCTTAAAGTACATGAGCAGAGCTGCTTTCCTGACTCCCCTCTCAAAACGTGTCTCGGTGCATAACTTCTTAACCTCCTCAAAGTTTTCTAAAGTGATTCCTGAAGTACAGGAGTGAACAATCGCAAGATAAAAAAAAGCTAGAAGTAATAAAAGTAGAATTTCTGCTGTCACACTGAAAACAGGAGTAGCTTGATGGACTTTTTGGTCACCTTTTCTGGATTTTAAGCACTGCTGCAGGAGTTTGACAGCATCTCTGCGGCCCTGTTTAGCAGCTTGGATCAGCCATGTGACCGCTGTGCAGTTATTCAGCTCTTCATCGCTTTCTTCTGCTAACATCAGAAAGTAACGACCCATCTGGAAACACACACACATGTCCAGAGTCTTAATCTTGCAAAACAAGCACAGCTGATCTGTCCATAGTGGGGCTAAACTACAAACATTATCATAACTCAGCTGATCTGCTCCGTTTCCAACACATGGTCAACAGTCTGGAGCATATTCACTGACCTTAGTTTGTGCTTTAGCATCACCTGACTTTGCTCTCTCCTCCAAATCTTCAAGACGGACGTCCTCCTCTGGCTCATCTGGAAAAACACAGACACACAAAAATCTGATAATTTTGACTATTTTAATTTAAGTTTTTCAATACGTCATCCGAAAATGGAAAAGTGTATGGCACGACTGCAAATGTACAAACACGAGGCTCTTCATCTACACCCGGCCGAGTAACAGGACTATTTGTTAGAAAACAACAGTTTAATATTGGTATCAACAGATTCTCTGCTGAATCCAACAGATAATCTGTAGCATCTCTTTAAAAATGGTAAGAGACACAAACAGACCAACCAATGTAACTCAGCTTGAGCTTGTTGCAAGTAGAAATGAGCAAAGGTAAATCTGCATAGTTGGTTGAAACATATGGGAAAATACCTACATCACGACTCAGTAAAAACCTTTGATATTTTCATTTGTAAAAACCAAAGCTTGAAAACCAGGCATCATTTCCTTCCACTTCATAGTTATAAACTACTTTGTGCGGCTTAGTCACACGTGAACAAAACAAAACAAAATACCCTGAAGTTTGTGATTATAAAGTAACAAAACGGGGAAAAGTTGAAGAAAAATTGAGTATATAAAATAAAAACACTTAAAGCTCATTATTCTATTCTCACAATCCTCCTCATTCAGTAAATGATATGAAGCTGCTATTCCTGAGTCTCAGGGGAAGTTAGACCTCAATTATCAAAAACATTTCTGTTAAAATAACAGACTCTGTAAACCTTTCTGTGATTTAATATTTGGTTGTAGGTGATACTGGTGAGTGGCTCAGATGTCTGTCTGAGTGTGGGTGAGCTAAAGAAAAAATACTGATGATATCCAGTGACAGGCATTAGATGTCCTCTTGTGCTGTCCTGGAACACTGCTCATACTTTAATGCTCTCTCTGAATCCTAAAATAACTATTAGTTTAGTACAGTAAACAGCTGCTGCCTTATTAAAAGGTAACATCCAGTCTTAATTATTCAAAAGGTCAGTTTTAGCTTTTGCTTGTTAGTTACATTTTAAGGTTTGTATCAATTTGATAGGCTCACACTTTTTGTAGTGATACTTTCAGAATTTGCAGCAATACATCTTGATATCATAAATTGTTTCAAATAACAAATATGCTACAAGCAATGTGAATAAGAGATCTATACCCATTACAAGGCAACGTGACACACAGACAGCAGAAAAAACTAAAGAGGGACTCTGGTGTTTCTCTGAAGGTCAGTAGAAAGGGAGCGGCTGCTTTGCATGTCTGTTTGCTGTGGAGACACAACAGTGTCTAGGAGTGTTGACTGCACTGATTGCAGAAAAACTGAAAAGTGAAACCACGTTAGAAAGCTTGTGTTTGAGCTCAAAGGTTCGAGTTTTCTACCTGGTTCAGGTGAAACAGGCGATGGAGGCATCGCAGCAACCGATGATCCATTAAGAAGACTTCCTGTTGATGCCGCTGCATTGAGCTGAGATCTGCCTGGCTGCGAAAAGCTTCTGCTGGGCTGGCGGGGAGATGAAGTCGTCAGTGTGGAAAGGGAGGAAGAGCGAGAATGAAGCCATGGAGATATCTGGCGAGGCGAGGCGGCGGAGGGAGAAGGTGATGGAGTGGTCGAAGGCGTCGGCAACGTAACTTTATGCCTCTTCGGTTCAAGGGTGGAGGAGCTCGCCGATGAGCCAAGCGAGGACGTTCCAGGCCTCATGGAGGTTGGAGATGAAGGGTTGAGCTTTGGTGTGGGCAGGTTGCCTGGGGATGAAGGATCCATGACTGAAAAAAAAAACAGTCAACCTAAGACTTTAGTATTTATAGGGGGTCACTGAGATATCAGTGAGAGGAAGAGCCAGGTGACTGGCAGAAATGATAATATCACTAAACATATCAATAATTAACCTGCAGAAATCAAACATGTGATCCATGTCTGATCTGACTTAGCTTATAATAAAAGATGAAATAAGACATTCAAACCTCTTGAACTTCTGCATCTTTCAACTTTAAAGTATTTTTATTAGGATTTTTGTGACTGACCAACACAACGTAGTACACTGTAGCAATATTGGATTTTTATTTTTTTGAATGTAGATCTGACATTTGTGAAATCTGGTGCAACCTACTGGAATCAAAAGTTACCTAAACAGTGATCTTTCATCTCATTATAAATACAGTTGTTCTGGTCAATGGAGCTTAAAGCATTCCAGGTTAACCATGAGCCCCGTGGTCAACCTGGAAGTGCAGAAGTGATTCACAACTCAGGTGGGAGTATCTGTTGAGCCGACAACTTAACCTTTTCATCAACATGCAAAATGCCAAATATGAGGGGAAACTAATCATGGATAACATGCCCTGAACACAACATCGTCATCTTGGCAGCATGGTGCTTCTCTTCAATAAGATTAAACTTAAAAAACAGGTGGGTGGAGCTAAATGAGAAGAGGTTCACCTTTCAGCAGGTAAAATGCTAATAAACACAAAGCCAGATACAATTATGACCTCGGTTATGACTTTAGTTATGTGTGAAGAACCTTAAATTCTCTGGGGTTTTATTTTTACCAGATCGCACATAAGTTTGTAAAAAATAATCAGAGGTCCTGATGCAAATTAACCACAGTTTATTTACTCACAATAACCCTTAGACATAAATAGTCAATTCATTTTATTGTACAATATCGACCACTTTAAAATCCTAAATCTATCCTGGCCCTGGAAACCTTACAGCTGACAAACAGTTACTCTGATTAAATAAAATCAGACTGCTTGGGGGAGAAATAATATTAAAAACCCAAATGTAACTGAATACACCTATGTGTTCCCAAACAAAAACACACTCACACAAAAAAGAAACTCCCCTTCCACTAGTCTCCTCAATCGAGATAAAACAGCTTGGAACCAGGGACAGCATAGGTTATTTTACTTACAAGCAAGCCTGGAGGGCTGGACAATAAAAACTCCCCTTCCTTAGACAACAAACCCCCAAAAGAATAAAGAATTTAATCAATATATATCCAAAACATAAATTCTAAACTAATGCAAGACTGAAAACAAAACAAACTAAAACTGAAACAGTAGCAGGCCAACCTTCTCTAAAAGTTAACAGAGCTCTGTATGTCCTCTCCAAGAGCAAGTTTCCTGTAGAGGAATCAGTCTAGACTCTTGGACCCAGTCCTCCACTCTCTGCTCTCTGGAACCCTTCCAAGGAGAAAGTCAACAGGTAAACATGGTTCTTGGCCAAACATCAAAAGGTAAGGAGACTCAACCGTGGACTGATGGACTAAGGTGTTATATGAATACAACACTTGAGGCAAACAATAAGACCAATTTCCCTTCCTCTCAATAGGTAGAGTTTGCAGCAGATCTTGTGATGTTCTATTAAATCTTTACGTTCGGGATGGTAGGGGGTAGTATGAGTCTTCTGCACTCCATACAGCTCACACAACTGCTGGATCAATGCACTTTCAAAATTCCGGCTCTGATCAGAATGTAGTCTGTCTGGAACACCGAACTTGTAGAGCCAGTCTTGTAGAAGAATCTTAGCAACAGCAGAGGCCCTCTGATTATTGGTTGCTACATAATGAAGTGGTTTAAATTGGTAAAGACATCATTTTGTGTTGGAATGAGGCAAGAATGTGAAAAGGCAAACCAATAGTGTCCAATTTTGAAAGGTGCCGTGTGTTTCAACCTTTATAACCTGGTAGTTGAAATATTTGTTTGCAGACTCCCAGATTCACGTTAACAAGCTGAGGTCTGAGAAATGTTGATGCTGTTCAAATCATTTGTCTATTTTCTGTTTGAGACCGTAGAGATGCGTAAAAAAAACCACAGTTCAGCGAATATGTTCATTGTGTTCACCTAATCAACGATAAACAAGAAACACGAGTTGGAAAGGGACACGTTTTCAAAAGCACTTTCTGAACACAGGCATGTATTCATTCCACTGTAACCAGCTAGTAAAACTATTAGTGCAGCAACACGCCGTACAACTCTAAGTCATGTTGATTTTTAGAACAATGATGCTCTGTGGGTTTAGAAATGCTAAGACAGCTGATCATAAGGTCATAAGTTTAATTCAGCTTGAAATCTGTGACTGACTAGTAGTTTAGGTTGTCTAAGTTAAAACTTTTATCAGTGTTTGAACCACGTTGTGTTATCTATCACGCTATTTCAAACATCAAGCTAGCCCGAATAGCTAGCCTGAGAAGGTGGCATCCTTGAACTTATTGGGACGAATTTGAGTCCAGTTGCAGCTGTGAGAACCCCGAGTGTTATATAACAATAACACACTGCTGTGCCATTTAACACATCACTAAAGCGAGATAACCGAGCGCTTCATAGCTAATAATGCTAGCAATAATTACCGCTGCCCGCTCACCTTCCGGTTTATTTCAGGAATTAGTGAAGTGTCTCTGGTGATTGTCTCGTGACTTGCTGTTTCAAGTCAGTTGTTCGTTTGGATCCTGAGAAAGAGACATGTCCTTTCCTTTGACAGTGGTCAAACTCCAGACACCAACAGTGCGCAGGAAAGTCAGTCAGCTGCTACAGATGGCGCTCACGCCTACATTTTGTTTTGAGGCTTCTGATTGGGTGAAACCACAAACTCGTGTGACTAAACACAACATGATTGGCTTAAATAGGAGGAAGTTGGAACGTGCTGTCATTTAGCTTGTGTTGGTTTCTTTTATTTTTTTCATTGTTTTAATTTGCTTTTTACTTGCCTGTTACAACATTTCAACACCAGTAGGTGGCAGCAGATTACATTTGGGTTTTTTAATGCTTTTTTGTTTCTCAAAACCCACCCAAAAGTACATTGTTTTATTTATCAATCTGATTTAAAAAAAAAAAAAAGAATGTTATTTGAAATTAAAACCAATGACAAATCATTTTGCTGTTTTACATTGTGAATAGATATTAATAAAACTAAAAAAACTTTCTTTTTATGTTATTTTTTAACTAATGTCTGGGTGTCATTCAACAACCTTTGGTCAGGGCTTAAGGGAATGTAGTATGCTAATATGTTGAGGATATACCTTATCCAGAAGCTAACAAAAAAGTGTCAGTTAGCTTACACCTAATAACAATGAGATCCAATGTTTAAAATGGTATCCATGTGAGGAACACACGATGCAGACTGTGTTGCCACTACTTTTATTTGAATGATTTTATACTGTAAAATAATGCCAGATGTGGCAAGAAAGCAGAGATGAAAGATTGAGATTAAACATGTGTCATAAATAAGTACACAGTAAAACAGGAAACAGCAGCAACAATTTCAGCAAATTTAAGGGAAAAAAAGACCCAGGTTATCATACTGAGATTAAAGTTCAACTAAGAGAACAAGAGTAGAAATAACAGTAGCCAAAGGGGGAAAAAACATTAGGGGCTTAATTGCCACAGTGCAGCTGGGGAGAAGCAGTTAAAGAAATGCTGTGTGATTAGCAGATTAATACAATCCAGTTTAGAGGATAAGCAGCACCGTCTTACTGCTTTTAGTCTGAATATATTAGGAAATCAGTCTTTAGTCTTCAGACTAGGTTTCGACACACACACTCTCACAGCTCAAGCACATGTTCTTTATAATGAGCTTATCATGAGTTTAAATCTTCTGAATACGTAAATCCCTTTGGTGGTTTGTCACCACCAAAGTGCCTGTGCTTGAGACAGCCGTAGCCAGTTTTTATCAAGCAATCATTAGTTTGAGTCATTACAATCTGAAAATTGGAACAAGCTGCTTCTGTGACTTCAGTCTACTTGTTATTTCTCAGTATGACCTCAAGCAAGTAATGACTCAAGTCACAGCAGACATGTTTTTTGTATTAATTGGTCAGAAACAATGATGTGAAGATTAAGTTTTTCTCAGTCTCACTCATAAAGTACAATTGGTATAAGTTTTACAGGCAAGAATTCTCACAGGATTCACCTTTTGGTTCTGAATAAATATGTCAAATAAATGGGCTACTTCACTGGTAATTAATTTCTCTTTCTCAGCTCACAACCTTTCCATTTATTGATCAGCAGCTACTACTGGGCCTTTGTGGCAGTTGTGAAGAACAAAAGTAATTCAAACAAAGAGTAAATTAACATTGTGAAGGTTGAGCTTTTGTTTAGTTTACTGCGCTGTGATCTAAATCAGTGGTGACCAACATGATTAGTTAATTGACGGTGGTTTAGATCTGAATCAAAAGGATTAGTCATTAGAAGACCCCTACATAATTTGACACACTCCAGCCACTGGAATAGGACACCCTGATCTAAACCTGGAGCCTGCTGAAGACAAGGTCCTCACATTGGGAGATTGTTGTGCCCAAGTTCTGTGTTTTTGGGCACACGTGTGGAATGTTATTCCGAAAAGATGAGATTTTATTCCATTTAAGAGCATCTTCTTCAACAACCCAACCCTGGTTTTAACTTCACCCTGACCTCTCTAATGTGTTCCTGTCTTAAAAAGGCTTTGTTTAGAAATATTGTACAGAAATTTATATTAATGCATACAAATTAATTCTCTTTAGGTGACTATTTGAAATGCGTTGCACCAGACTTTATTTAAGGATATCAAAATTAAGAAGAGGTTGAACACCGATTCTTGTAACATGTTTGAAAACAACACATCGTTTTCCTTTCTTTTAACAATTACATGCTATTTTGTGTTGTGGTGTAAAATACAAAAAAGCTGAGACGTGGAAAGCTATGGTTAAAACATGATAATGTAAAAATTTTCAAGGGATTGTTGAAATAAGGAGTAATTTTGTTTAATGGTTAACGGAGAGGCCGTTATGCTGACCTCTGCTGTGTCTTCTGTGTACTGCAGTTGTGTTGTACTGTTCTGAAAAAGACGAATAAATGAACGCACGTTGAAACGCCTGTTCTCTTCAGGTTATGGGCCCAGAGTGTCGCTAAAAACCTTCTGTAATTGAAGTTTTTGAGTCGGATAAACGGAATTGTGGGATTCACAATGGATGATAAGATGTTTATCGACAAGCTGAATGGACCAGAGAACTGGGCAACGTGGAAGTTTCAAATGGAGCATTTGCTAAAGGCTAAAGGACTGTGGGGCATGCTAACGGAGACGGACATGCTAACTCCGGATGCTAGCACACAAGCTCGGGCAGAATTCGAGAGACGGAAAGAAAGAGCATTTTCTATGTTAGTGCTAAATGTGAGTACACCCCAGTTGTATTTGATAACAAGCTGTCAAACTCCAAAAGAAGCTTGGGACATGCTAAAAGGACATTTTGAGAGAGACACTTTAGCAAATAAACTGTTCTTGAAGAAGAAATATTTCAGATGTGAAATGAAAGAAAAGGACAGCTTAAATGATCATTTGAAACGAATGAAGGAACTGACTGATCAGCTAAGAGCAATAGGTGCTGTGGTTGAAGAGGAAGATCAGATTGTAACTCTCCTGGGTAGCTTACCACCAAGCTATGCTACGATAGTCACTGCTCTCGAAACAAAGATGGACAATTTGACATTGCAGTTTGTGCAGCAAGCATTAATCAATGAAGAGCAAAAAAGTAAATGTCAATGATGACTACTGTGTGGCTACATCAGGTGGTGGTGTATCAGCCATGTCAACACAAGTTTCCAGAGAAATGCAGGGCCGTTCAAAAGTAGTGGGAGCTGAAGGACAGAGTTCATGGAAATGTTACAAGTGTGGCAAAGAAGGACACATAAAGCGTAACTGTCCAAGCTGGAAAAAACTAATAAAAAATCACAAAGCCAAAAATGCAGTGTGTGAAAATGAAGAAGATCCCTCTGAGAGTGCATTTGTTGCAGAAAATGCTAATCTAACTGAAGGACCAGGACAACATGAGTGGTTGATTGATTCTGGAGCATCAAAACACATGACCTGTGACAAAGAAATTCTTCAAAACTACCAGCAGTTTACAGAAACACAGTCTGTAAAACTGGGTGATGGCAGGGTGGTGGAAGCTCAAGGTTTCGGCATTGTTAAATTGAACATGACCTTCAAAATGAGTGATGCTAAACCCGCCACAATGTATGATGTGTTATACGTTCCAAAGTTGTCTGGAAATCTATTTTCAGTGGGAGCTGCAACAAGAAAAGGAAATACAGTGCAGTTCAAAAAATCTTAGTGCTACATACGTGGCAAGGATGGAACTCTTAAAGGAATGGGAACACAAAGATCTGATGGACTGTACCAGTTGAATCTTAAAGGATCTTCACCAGTCTGTCATGGTGCATCAAGTGCATCAGTAACAGCTAGTCTGTGGCATCAGCGCCTGGGTCACACCACCAAACTAAAGAAGTTAGGAGATTTGGTGAATGGAGTGAAATTCTCTGCAGACAAAGAACTTCCTTTCTGTGAAGCCTGTGTGGACGGCAAGCTCACAAGACAGCCATGTAAAGCAGTGGGAGAAATCCGTTCCAAACGTAAGCTGCAACTGATCCATAGTGATGTCTGTGGACCCATGCAGACAGAATCCATAGGTGGGTCAAAATACTTTGTAACCTTCATAGATGACTTTTCTCGCTGTTGTAAGGTTTACTTCATGAAACATAAAAGTGAAGTCTTAAGCAAATTCAAGGAGTTTGAGAGAAACATTCTCTAATGAGTGTGGACACAAAGTTGCAAGACTGAGATCAGATAATGGTGGGGAGTACATTTCAAGTGAGTTTCAAGAATATTTGAAAGCTCAAGGTATCCACCATGAGATGTCTGTACCTCATACACCTCAGCAAAATGGAGTTGCAGAAAGAAAAAACAGGACATTGGTTGAAGCAGCTAGAAGCATGTTGTCACATGCTAAGCTACCAAAAATGTATTGGGCTGAAGCAGTAGCAACAGCAGCCTACATACAAAACAGATTGCCGACATCTGTTCTGAAGCAAGAGACACCCTACCAACGATGGTCTGGTAAAAAACCTGACATGAGCCATGTGAGAGTGTTTGGTTGTGTTGCTTATGCACATGTTCCAGATGTTCAAAGACGAAAACTTGACAAGAAAGCTGTAAAACTCAGGTTTGTGGGATATGCAAACAATGCAAAAGGATATTGTCTGTTTGATGAAGAAAAAAGGAGAATTCTGATTCGAAAAGATGTCATCTTTAATGAGTCTGACTTTGACTGGAGACAGAAGGACGAAGTTCCTGTCCAGAGAAAGAGATGGTTACCATCACAGAAGAAAAAGAAACAACTGATGATGTTACTGTTGATGAAACTACTAAAAGAGGAAGCAGAATCAGAAGGGCTCCAAAGAGATATGGATATGACGAGTTTGCAGATACGATGACTGTTGATCATTATGCTAGTGTGTGTTCGGTCACAGAACCAATCACACTGAAGGAAGCATTAAAGAGTCCAAATGCAAAAGAATGGCAAGAAGCGGCTGATTTGGAATACCAGTCACTGGAAGAAAATGAAACATGGGATCTGGTGGAACTACCAAAGGACAAAGAGGTCATTGGGTCAAGATGGGTGTTCAAAGTCAAGCATCAAAGTGATGGAGAAGTGGAGCGATACAAGTGCAGACTTGTTGCCAAAGGCTACTCACAGCTATATGGTGCTGA